TCGCTGAGATTTCTACAAATATGATCTCCTTCTTTAGAAATGATAATGTTAAAAGTTACGAATGCTTAATCGTTTCTCTGGACATTGTATGTAACAGGCAAATAAACGCTATCCCTAAATTGTAATCCTGAAGCAAATTTTACAATAGCGGCAATATATTTCATGGAAAAAATACTAAGACAACGCCGATTGCATTTTTAGGTGAAACTCAATCACCCTTATAGCTAAAAACTATCTTACAATAGAGCTCATATTAATCAGTGGAGTCCACGACGCTCGTTTCGTCGTACTGCAGACTCGTCAGCTAGATGTACCTACATCCGAGTTGATGTTGAGTCCGGAATTCGAACCCGGTACGTTTCGTTCTGAATGTCATCATGTTATCCACTCAGCTACTGAGTCCAGATAGCCACTTTAAACCCTTCATCCTAGTCCTAAATACCTAACACTAACTAGGAATAATATGGGATCTCGCGAAAACCTATTTGGGTCCTTTTATGAGTTCGTGATGGACAACTTATCACTTCCATTAGAATGATAAAAACAGGTTTGTATGACTTTTTTTCGACTTATAGGCAGATTAACCTATAAGAGACATTGAGAGATGTTTGAATCCCATAAAAGCTCTTTATATTTTGAGACAATATTGTTTTTTTTCCATAAACTATGTGTTTAAATACGCCATTTTTCGACTAGTTAGAAATTCGTCGCAGTTGTTTTATGCTCATCCCTACATTATCTTATCACAGTTTAAACTTACTCATATAAATGATATAAATTCGTTTTGGTTATCTACAACAAAATGGTTAGAATTAACTTTATTCTTAACCGCATATTGTTAAATGAAATTCAAAATAATAGTTATCTAGGCAAACTGCTCTGTAGGCAGTATTCGTCATGAACTGTCAGCTGAAGCACCACTAAAAACACTGCACTTGTGGATATAAATATGATTGTACAGCTTCAAGAATAAAATCACAAATTTCTACATGAAATTGAAAGTACAGTGGATGATAGCCTTCTTATTATTATGGAAACTGACAATATTTCGTTTTTAAAATGCTTGAAGGTAATAAAAATATATAATATAAGATGGTACTTAGACTAAATATCAAGAAATACCTGCTTTTGATACTGATTGTATGTTAAGACATTTGATGTGATTCAATGAATACATACTCAAGGCTGTTTGCGTAGCTAGACAATATCCTAAAACTGTAGCTCTCAATTCGAAATCTCAACTAAGCGTGTAAACGAAGGATTGTCGATGTATCGTTGTATTACATTTGATGTCAGTTTGCGATGAAAACCCTAACCCTGATCCATAATTTTAGTTTAACACTTAATACTTATTCCTAATCTTCTTGAACCACAGCCGTTATCATTTGGGTGACAGAAAACCTTACAGGGTCACAAGCCTGAATAACAAAACTAGTTCAACTCCTAATGTGTAAACTCAATGTTCTTCTTTAACTGTAAAGCATATTTCAACATTCATGAGCCAATTAATCACATTAAAACTATTATTATATTGTGATTTTATTGCTTTTTATGGTCAGCTATTTTATACTAAAACCTTTTACCATGATTGTTAAGCAAGTCTCTCAAGGTCGTCAGTATCGTTTACTTTTACCAAAATTGAAATCAACAAAAGTAGATAAATATTGTAACTTCATATTACTGTATGCACTATGAAACCAAGGCTTCATAAAAGCTATGAGAACAATCACTCAAATGTGCCATAATAATAAGAATAATAATGACTAATCTACTAGAAGCCGTTGTTCGGAAATATTAATGAATGAACATGGCTTATGATGAATGTTAGTACTGTAAACCAAGAATGTGAAATACTCTTTGCGATCATCAACGTAGATAAATAAATGGTCTAATTATCATAACTTGGTGATATCCGACATGATTGTGATCATATTCGATCAAGGAAAAACGTTGACCATGAGCGACATTGTAAGACAGTATCAATTGCTGGAAAACACCAAACGAATAAGTGATACCAACTATATTCCTTGAGGTTTGGATTACTCTGGAAGATAAGTACTTCAAATATTCTCAGATTTGTTGACGTCCATGACATGAATTCGATTGTAATGCACGTAAACTACAAAAGGCAAAGTGGTTGGAGTATGTGTAATGTATGCTCAGGGATCATCTACGTGCAACTATGAATTAGTTAGAAGGCTAGGTGGTGCCAAACCAAAAAGTAGTATCGATCAAAATGTGATTGGATGGTGAACTTAGTTGTTTCAGTAAGCACAATCTTGTTGATCGTCGTATGTACCATAAATGTATCCTAGGTTGGGAAGTTTGTGACATGGTTCAAAATCAAATGCAGTAGTCCAAATTATTTCTCTGGAATTAACAAGTTTGCACCTAATAATTCACGTTTCCAGCTTTAATCAATTCATGATATGATTATGAGACTATAGCTGAGTTTCATCGGTTATACACTTGCCTCATACTTGATATGGTTGGATCACACCAATCATACCTTTCCACCCACTAGTACTTCCAATATCCATCTCAAAATTAGCTACTAGTAAGCATATAATTTTTATTAACAAGTGAAAATTAAGTTTGAACATAATAAAAAACTTATTTATTTATTTGAACACATAAATATTGGTACAAGAGGGCACCAAATATATATGCGCCACACAAAAACAATGAGAATTTGAAGAGAAGAAGGAAAAAAAAGGTAAGGAGCGTAAAAATAATAATAATGAGGGAAACAGGAACGTACAGTCAGAAAGAGATCCTTCAGTTAAGGAAGAAGCAACCACCTTTTATAAAGAAGGTAAAAGGTTACAGCAGGATCGCCACCGTCTCCTATTCTGATCCATATCTGATAACGTCTCTAGCCACTGTGTCACACCATCTCTTGGACCCCAGACAGGGAGTGGTGAAGGACCGACAGAAGCCAGTCCTTTGCAGCTTTCTTTCATACCACGACACCATGTCATAAACCGACCACCTATCCGTTTTTTCCAACCAGTCCCAGCGTCGGCAAATAATGAACGACGTGAAATTCTCTGGGTCGACATTTGTAGAATATGTCCAAGCCACCGAAGTCGATGTTTCAAAATGGTGACATCGATTGCATTATCATCTCTGTGCCCGAACACACGATGCCAGCAATCCTTCGGAGACAGCGATGATCGAACACAGAGAGAACTAACCAAGATTAAAGAAACGGTTTAAATGTCATATTAAAGATACAAAACCAAGACTTTAACTACTGACTTACTACAGTTGATTATGATAAGATGAAGGAATAGGAGACACATATCGTGATTTTTGTTTAACATTACTACTGTTTTTAATTCAATATGATTACTCATGATAATATATACTTTATTTCAGTATGACGTTTATTAAGATACAATATTCTTGTATTTAATTAAAGTGAATTAATGTTTAGCATAATATGCAACATGCGATTATGTTATCATTTCATAAATGTACTTCTTTTTTTCTAAACAAAAATCAAATGGGTATACAAATCAACATAGAAGTGAGTGTATCTTTGATTATGAGTTAGATTGATGAGAAAAAACACTAACTTGTGAATATGGAGATGAAAAGATTAGGAATCAGTTTGAGAAAATATTAAAAGAAGTGATATTTTGTTGTAATAGATTTTAAGGTTAGAATTGGGATAGAATTAACTTTAGGAATAGTGATTAGGTAATATATAAGTTAACACTAAATGTTAACGGTTAGGAACACACAGCTATATTGGATATAATGAATTAATCACGCAAAAGCAATATTTGATAAAAGTATGTTATACTTAAATCCTTGAGAGAGTAATCAAAATTAAGGTGACCAATGTTGAACATTAGAGCGAATTTAAAACGTTATCATGGATAGATTTATGTTGGATACCATGTTTCTCACTAGGTTCCCGATTTTTAATGGAATGGATGAGGACTATTTTGTTCAGAGAAGTTAGGTTAAAAGTGTCAGAATTAGGAGTTAGAGTTTAGAAGCTATCAAGATTTCCAGACTAATTTACCGATGGTATCCCCTAACAAAATCAAATAATGACGTTAAAATCCTGAAATCTGAGTAAATCTTCCAGTTTTTTTCTTCACAACAGCTGCATCCTGACTGGCTATCTGACCAGGCTCAAGGTTATCTAATATCTCTTAAGGCCGTCATTATAGTGCACTCGCACTCAACGATGCCCTCGTAAATAATTGTGTTTCGTACAGTGTCTCATTAATCCACATTTGCTCATTCCTGATTGGTTGAAAGTTTTCAAGGCCAGTTTAACAGTCGCTAAAGTTTAGCACAACAATTCAATTTTAAAGCATATGAGACTTATGAATGTTAATCAATTTAAGGGAGGTTTATGCGTCATTATCGATCCATGCATTCATAGTTTAACAAGAAAGATAACAAATTAAGTTTTCTTTTTTATGGAATGATGTCAATTTTCATTAAATTATAATTATATACAGTTAAAGCACAAAAAAGTGGAGATTTGTAGCTCAGATGGATGATTTTGATGAATGGTTTAATCGTGGAGCTTTCATCGTTCTTCTGAACGACATCGTCAGCACGTACTTTAGGTAGATAATGAAATCGTTCAGAATAACGATGAATCCTCCTAGACTAAACCATCCAGCTCAGAAAACAAAACTCCATAAAAAAAGTCTAATTTAAACACATTTTAAAATAATTATTACAACACCATAATTACTTTTCTTTTTAACTATTCAACAAGATATTGAATGAACTCAACAAAGAAATATAAACTGTGAAAGACTATAGAAGCATTTAATTAAAGCATTTATTTGAAATAAGTAACATTACAAATGAAAGATTATGATTAATAACTGGGATTTATTGTGATTTTTTGTATCGTAATGGAGATGGTAAACGATTTTGAATAAGTTGTAAAATATCAACTTCTTCGTAATAAATTATTATTAATGTGATGAATAAGAACCCGAATGTAATTGTACCATGTAATATCATCCATAGAATGCCAAAAGAACAACAAAAAAGTACTAGAAAGAATTAAAGGAATAAAAAAACAAAACAAGAAAATTGGCAGAGTATAAAAAAAGACAAAGATTTCATTGAAATCATGAACCGATCAATATCAGACCATCATTGAAAACCTGAAAGCACTGAACGACCATTTCTTCATAGTATCGTACTTCAAACAGTGCACAAACAGAACAGAGCAAATGGGAATTGAACCCGGGACTTTCGACTTTGCGAGAACGCCTATCCTCTACGCCACTTACGCGGTATTTAACGGTGTTAGTGTTTAACTGAAGTGCTTTTATGTCTTTAACGATGGTCTAGCATTGATCAGTTTATGACTTCAGCAAAACTAAAAAACGTTCACGATCCTATTCATACAAATAGACTGAAAGTTTGAAAACAAAGTGTCGATTAGTAAGAATGTGTAAGAGCATGGTTTGAATGGAATGATATCTTGGTAACTAGTTGCAACAGCTGATCTCTGCTTTAAAACTGAGAACAGCAGTATGGGATTAGACACAGTAGTAGGCAATAGTGATGCATCGACTAATATAGTAGTGAATCCACGTCGATTGGGGTGGTTGGGATTTGCATATAAAGCTAGTTGATATAGGGGTAGAGTCCCCAAATGCCCTGGCATGGTCGAAATAGGGGAGAGTTAGCTCTCCCTCTCAAAATGTTACACATGAACAGACGTATACAACCACTCTCAGGGAAGTCCTACTCACTGACTACTTGCGACGGCGTGTTGTTTACGAAATTGAGAGTACAGAAAGCGAATGTCCGGCGCTATAACCAGATTGGTTGTAGATACGGAGAATCCACCTAAGGGAGTGGGAAAACCCTGATTCCAAACCGATGGCTCACATGAGCTCCAGGATCCTAAGGAATTAAATGGAGTATGAACCTGTTGTTGGTCACCAGCTACCATGGGACTGCATCTCCTTACGTCGCTCCACTGCCTTGTGGATTAGACCTTTAGGTCAAAGTCTCGGGCTGTGGTCCTCTAAGAAAACCACCTGCTTCGGTTTGAGCATCCCGGTAGTACCTTATCCCTTACACAAATCGAATGATTAATGTGGAGTATATGTATTTGGTGCCTTCTTGTACCAATGTTTATGTGTTCAAATAAAATAACAGAAACCAGAGTAGGTTGGAAGAAAGCTATGGGTAGCCAAAACAAGACGTGGTATCATTCCATCAAGTCATTAACTGTTGAAGTTAGCCATGTCAGTAGATGCAGACTACCTGGTTGGAGTCGGCACCATAACCGTGACCAGTGACTGGACACATTGGGCGAAATCCCTCAAAATCGGTCATAATGGTGTAAATGTATTCACTAATCGTCTACTATAGATCCTGAATTTCACGATCATAATGTATTTTTATTCTGAAAGTTTATTCCACATGAATTACATTCTGTTAATTCTTTTCTTACTATTACTAATACTACTTATGTAGCTTTGGTTTTCATCTTGGTAATTTTACAGATTGATCTGAGTTGAAATATCAAAGAAAACCAAGGAGTAATAGACAAAAGTCATAACTAATAAAGTCCGAATATATTTAGAGTGAAACAATTGCTACTCGATATTCTTCACATTGTATCAAAAGACTGATTAGAGTTAGAAGTGTACAATTGAACACCAATTCAATGGTTGTAATGACTAGGCTTTCTTCATGGTACACAACAATTCTGAGTCCGATTCCTGATGGGGGCGACATGTACGCAGTACATAGGAGTCCCATACTGGGAAGAAACAATTGTCCAGTCCTTATTTCTCAATGATATTTCGATCGAGATCAATCTGCAACGAATACAACCTGAAAATTACTATGAATTTCTTTAAACATAAACGAGTATAAGTAGTTAATCTCAGTTGTTAAATTGAATTGTTTTATAAATTCACTAAAAATTAATAAACAAATGTACAATAATACCAATAGAGGTAAAAAAAAGAAACACAATCAACTATAATCTTACTTGTGAAATTAAAGTACATACAAGTGAAATGGACAGAATGCACATTTCACTATATGATGGGAACATTAATGATAATAATGAAATATTTGAGAATTTTTCCATTTCACAGTTTGATAACACCACGAAAGTCGATGATTTACCACTACTACTGCAGCTGCTATCATTATCATCATCATCCAAGTTGTTTTGTTTTTCAATATTCGTTGGTTCATCAATTTTTGCCAAAAATTTGTTAATATAATAAACACTGTCAAAAGAATAATCAACAAGAAACAGAATCAACGTTAATAGCGAAACATAGGGGTATATATATATAACCTTTTCGCCAGTTACTTGGGTATGAACCACCGTTGAAGTGTAAAGACAAACGATGCAATTCGGCTGCCTAAACCGAAGTAGGTGGATGGAGGTCCGAACTTACAACTTATTGGCTGGAACTTGAACGCCTTAACCACTAAGCTACCACTCTAGCACATCGACAACATATATATCAATTCAAATAGTTTTAGTTCACCTTATCAAAAACGATGGTCTACGCGAAATACTCAATGTCCGTTGGTCGGATATCATCAGCAAAGACCCAATGAGGCAAAAAACAAACCAACTTCCAGCTAAAGAGAAAATTAGGAAGAGACGCTGGATGTGGATAGGACGAACATCACAGAAACCACCAAACTGCATCATGAAGAAAGCCCTAACTTGGAATCCCGAAAGTAAAAGGAAAAGAGGAAGACCAAGGAACACATTGCGTCGGGAGGCAGACATCAAATGAATGAATAGCAATTAGAAACAACTGGAAATGATTACCCAGGACAGAGTTCGGTGGCGAATCCTGATCGGCGACCTATGCTTCTCCACGAGAGGTAACAGGTGTAATTCATCAGAATGTCTTTAGCTGGACAACCATTAAACACTAGGACGTACTGGAAAACTTTTTCAACCTAATAATATTGAACTCTTCAATAGTGTAATCACTTACGATATGGATGATTCAACTTGTATACCAATAATATATGATTAGGTACTCTGCTTTGAATTGCACCATTACTAGGTGAAAATCGATGATATCATCTGGTTACCTATGATTCATCAAGGACTGAATTCATACCCTTCAAGATTGCCAGTTAGTGCATTACCATTAGACCAGTGGCTTGATATTCAGTAGTCCATAATTCCATGTTCAGGTAATTGTAGACAATGTGTGACCAGCATCTAATATGTTCTGTGACGATTATCTCATATCCCGTAAACCTCTATAAATTTTTAGCGGGTGAAAAACTTCACTTTATCTGCTTCTAGTTTCGATTTCCAGATTATATTGATTGTTGATTTATATGCATTATTTTCCTTACTAAATGTAGGTGCATTTTGTGAGCTTGCTACGTCGTCGGCTCACTTTTTTCTTTTGTACTCCTGTCTTACAGCTCTCATCACTCAAACTACTCTGTATGCTCCCTTAACACATAAATGACCTTCTGGCTAGATACGAGTTGCTTCAAATTCACAACTTAGATTAAATTTATATACTTATTTGAACACATAAACATTGGTACAAGAAGGCACCAAATACATATACTCCACATTAATCATTCGATTTGTGTAAGGGATAAGGTACTACCGGGATGCTCAAACCGAAGCAGGTGGTTTTCTTAGAGGACCACAGCCCGAGACTTTGACCTAAAGGTCTAATCCACAAGGCAGTGGAGCGACGTAAGGAGATGCAGTCCCATGGTAGCTGGTGACCAACAACAGGCTCATACTCCATTTAATTCCTTAGGATCCTGGAGCTCATGTGAGCCATCGGTTTGGAATCAGGGTTTTCCCACTCCCTTAGGTGGATTCTCCGTATCTACAACCAATCTGGTTATAGCGCCGGACATTCGCTTTCTGTACTCTCAATTTCGTAAACAACACGCCGTCGCAAGTAGTCAGTGAGTAGGACTTCCCTGAGAGTGGTTGTATACGCCTGGTCATGTGAGAACAGGGACTAAAAATAATTTAATAGCAAACACTTTACAAACACACAACATTCATTTTCTTACCTATATAAAATACGAGTAATCATATTAATACAGTTGGCCAGTACAAAACCGTATACATTGAATATTGGGACAAGAAACCAATTTGCGCTAAGAAATATTGTAGAAAATATTATTAAACGTTGATTGTGACGTAAAACTTCATCCTGTGAAATAAAAGAAGTGGTAGTTATTAAATAAAGTGATAAGCCTTCCTACTGATACGCCTAAACTGTCTTCTTAGCCGGTTTCTATAATCTCATCTACTTGTACATGTCAACTGAAACAACAGAAATAAACTGCAAACTACAAATAAAAGCTTTACTTCAAACTTAGCTTATGCACAAAAAAGCGAGGGTATTTATAGAGTTGCACACGACCTTGAGTCTCAGGAACCATACTAAATATAGTAGCAGCATATAGAAATATTCAATCCAAATCGTGGTACGCAATTGTGTATTTTCTAGATGCCTCTGTGATGAGTATTCAACGCTGATTAGATAAGACGTTCCATGGAGTTTCTGTGCCTCTAAAGGCTTTGACGAGGAAAATTTTGGAACTCTCCGAACATCAAATAAGTTGAGACAGATAAAACAAAAAGAGGACTTGGTTAGTAGTAGCGGTTGCTCAATAGTGGTTAATGACTTCCTTAAACGACAACGGGTTTGGGATTTAGCCTCCTATAGTCGCTTCTTTCAACCCAATCTTATGTCAGCTAACATTGTGCATCAGTGGTGATTGGGTAAGTATAAGTCATGGATACACAGTAACCATTATCTATCGAGCTTGAAATTCAGTAGTCCGAAGAGAAAGTCATGTCAGTGATTTGGGATAAACATTTTCTTAACAGAACAAAGTGAACTGTATTAAAACGTTTCTTTTTTCAAATAAGAACGATATACATATATAATAAAACATGCGAAACTTACTGTTGACATTGCGGAATTCAACAGCGCTTCAGTCGAACCATTCCATGCAAGTAACAAAACATAAGCAGAATATAATTGTAATAAATTGACTGCTACATAATTATCAGCTAATCTATGCCCAGCGTAAATCATTAATAATAAACGAGAATTAGCTTGAGCATAAGTTACACCAATCCAAGCTATAAGACTTGAAATACGTAAAGCTGTTTTAAGCATACGAAATGCATCCATAAGTAATTTCTGCAGATTAGAGAGAACAAGACGGATCAATTAAAACTTATAGTTATGTATAAGTCTAACCAACAAGTAGATTCGAGTTACAGCTCTGTCAACTTCGGTTCAGGCAAATTGGGTTAATAAGCCCTACCCATCAGTTTAGAAACTTGGTTTAAAATACATCACCCAAAACTTGTACATATAGGGATGTGGTACATTTGTAAATGAGGTGACCATAGATATCACACACGTTACGTTTTATTCTTAATCTTAAAAATAGTATAACGCAACATTGAATAAAAATAATATGTATCACAGAAATTATCATACTGCTCAGATTATGAAAACTCTTTTCGGTTACCATACTAGGTAACTTGAAAAGACATAAATACAATTGATTGATCTCTGAGTGGTGGTTAGAGTGATGTTTCTTTAATCCTCCTTCAGGGCGGATTAAATCCTATCGGCAAAGTTCTAATATAGTCATTAGTGTAAATGACTCGACACCGAGTGGACTAAGTTAGAATGTTCAGTGTTTGGATGTAGTCGGCAAGAAATACTACTTAATCTAGCATTTTGGCATGATAGCCGATATGATCAAAACACTAACGCTAAGCTCCTAACCCTAATTTCTGAGGCTAATTCATACCCTTTATTTGGAATCCTACAATTCGTTGACGTTTTCAAGGTTAATCTAGTATCGCTCAAAGGTCATCTATAAATAAAAGTTGCGAGACGTACCCCCAACCAACTGATTAAAAACCTGATAGTCTACAAATTTTCTAAATTCATATAGGTCACGACACAAATCATCTCCAAGATTTAAAATTATCTCTACATGTTGCATTTTTCTACCGTCTGATATCCCTTAACTAGAAAAAAACAATTTCTATTTCAACAAAACCGAACAACAAAGATACAGAAGTAAACGTATTCGAGTATCTTCCAGTATGTTATCCATTTACCTACTAGTGATGATTAGTAGGAAATGTACCAATCGCCATATTCGAAGTTCAGCCTGAACTGAATAAGAAATGGCTAGAACTCTATCCGGTCAACATCAAAACAGTGACACAAAGTAAACCCTGTTATTAGCAAGAATTCAATCGCTGAAAAAATTCTATCATATCAACAAGAAAGAGATAGATGAACGAAGAATATTCTTTTTAATAAATTCACTTTTAATTATTCTTCTATCAACCTTGACTGTTTTTATATTGGGGTATATGTGTGTATTTCTTATCCTAATCATCACATGCCTGTAACATATTTTTGGTCTGACTATAAATATCGATTCACGCTTGGTTAAACCGAGTTGGCTCACTCGCCTTCTTCACTACCTGTCACTTTGTTTTGCATCGTTTTCCAATCAACGATTGTATGAAATACACGTATTCGAAATCCATTCTCGTATTTGACTTATTTAATTCCGTTATACACTAGGCGCAATTTAAGTCAATGATTGTATACGCGGGTAGGCGGTATGTATATTTGAATAACAATCATTCATACGATTTAAGTGAAGTCAGATATAGGGCTATTAAAATCCATACCTTTTACCTTGGTCAACATCTGACCTAACTTAGTTAATAACCGTTTTTATGACATGGTGAAGTAGTCTGATCAATATTCATTTTTATAGCTTAAACTCATCTTATTCACACATATAACAATATAATTATTACCACTATTGTCATCATTATTGTTGTAACACTTGAAAACACTTTGAGAAATTTATTTAGCATTCATCCCTATTTACCTATTCGTATCCAATTCATATTATTCTACATAGTAAGAATTCAATTAAACGTCACAAAACATACACAGTATGGATGAGAACTTACTTTGTCTTGTTTATTTGGAGAGACATCTCTTTGAATACATTGACTAAACATAAAATGACAACTTTCTTCCAATGGTAAGAAAAGTAGACGAGCCGCTAAAGAGCCCAAATTATTGACGAGATCATATATACCTAGAGAGAAGAAAATTGGCATAGTTTAGGGAAAGTAACGCAGCCCAAATCATCATTACTGAAAATTAAGGGCATTTGCTTCACTGAGAATCTAAACAACATGTAAACAATCAGTATGTCATAACTCCTTGTATTTATCAATTTACGTATATGCATGAACACATAGACATAGAAGAATTCGTGATCCGTATATAAAGGTGATTCAATACATATCTAAATGGTTACCGAAACAAATGAACCCCAATAGCCTAATGAGAGTATACGATAAATAAACATCTCCCTCTATTGTGAACATTCAAATAACTTTGATGTTCCCACCAATACCGATAATGCTGGTTTGATATTCAATGCGGTATAACTCACATAATTTTCCTTATTATCTATCTATAATCAATGAAGTGTAGTTCAAAATAACATGGTAAGATAGTTACATTATTTTAACATTTGTCAATTACACTACCTCTCTATCGTACTTTGTAGATTGAAATGAAAAAATTCTCCTGACATTCACCAACAATTCAATTGCATTGACTACTTTAATCTTCCGAATGATGTTTAGGACTGTAATTGATCAGTCTTTTTTAGCATTTCTGAATCATGTACGGATTTCCTCGATATTGCCGTAAGTCACAAGCATCATAAGCAGAGTTGGATAATGGACGACACTGGGCTCGAGTCCCGGGTTGAGCATCAACACTGGGATGCAGGTACATCCAGCTGATGAATCTCAAATATGACGAAATGAGTGTCGAAGATTCCACTGTTAGCCACCACCCATCTCAGCTTAGAAGGAAGATAGATGTTTATCATCTACTTTTATTGCATCATTTGATTTTATGTTTCCGCAGCCATTTAGTTACATGTTCAGACACCCTAATTCACAAATCGTGATTACTCCTCCCTATGTATATATGACCGCACAAGGAAATAAAATTCATAAACACAGTGGGATATGAAGCCCACGTTGATATCTCACATGGAATCGCCTCGAGAAAAAATGACCCATTATGATGCGGATTGTAATACTGTTCAAACTTGTGTTCATTTAAGTCTGTTATTGATCTGCACCGAAGAATTGTCTTATACTACGTTCCAAATTTTAATTTTTACTCATTATATTAAGCAGAATAGGAGTATTGAGTTCTACTGACCAAAAGCTAAATTGTCTAATTATTGAACACTAATGGTTCAATAAAATTTGTGTGAACGATCGATAAAATAATTCCAAAATATGTATCCCATACAAATTAAAATTACTACTTACCCTGATCAGTGAAACTTATCAAATGGAACGCACTGATTAAATATCTTTCACCTGAATAGACCAACAAAAGAAGTTGAAATCAACGTGAGTTTAGCACCAAGGAAAGTTGAATTTTTATTTTGCCTAATCAAAATAATTAATTAGCTTATTTGATAAAAATATTTCTATAAATATAAAGTTAGAACGAAAGTAAAACAGTTCAGCAATTATTAAACTGATCCAGAAGTAATGAATTTTCAAATCAACAAGACGGGAATTTAATTTCAGTGCTGAAACTTGATGACCCAAATTAAATGTCTATACGTTAAACATTCACTTACTATTTACAATTGACTGATCACTAGGTATGTTAGGTCCTTCTTCATGACTTACGATATTTTTATTGTGATGCTTAATTGCGCTAATCATCTGTAAAAACAGGAGTGGACCAAGTGGGTTCAAATACGTGTCACTTATTGGCCGGAGGGTGAAACTCGAGTATTTTAATAACTAAAATACCACTCTACCAACAAGTTGAGATTTGGATTGATCGAAGTTAAACATTAATATCGTTGGATACCGGCTAAGTGATCGCAGAAATCAGAGGTCCCGAGTTCGATTCACTTGCGTGGAGTTTCGGATGCGCAATGGCGAGAAGTCCCATATTAGGAAGAAACGGTTGTCTAGTGTTCTCAGATTTCTATGATGTTCTAACTCAGATTAGTTCATGAATTCAATGAGATTTAGCAATCTTTAAAACCCTATACTGACAAAGTTGAGACCTGATCTGAAAAACAGATAAATATATCCAACTCTTATTTTGTATCTATAGTAACTAAGTAGTGTATAGATTGTTACATGCATCTGTACATAGGTGATTTATGTTAGCTTTATGAATGCTAATAACCTCAAAATAATCTGGTACAGATGAGTCAGTCAGTCAGTCAGTTACAACGTACGACCAGGCACATATATGCATTGGTCCAAGTTGCCATACCTCATTAACACAACAAGATGAACACCGGATTCATATAAGTAGTTGATTCAGAGGTGGTAATATATAAAAGATTGCAATAAGGATATAGTAGAAGAAAAAATTAGTTCATAGAAAGAAAGATATGAAGTGATTTTAATCTCTTAGTTTAAGGGAAGACAGTGTATACAGCCACGACAAGACGATCGATTCTGAGCCATGTCACCAAGAGTCTCCAACCATTGGTTACGATAGTCACGCGGACCCCAACCAAGTAGTCTGCATCTACAAACATGGCTCAGACTAGAGGTTAGTGTCTTCAAGCACTGATGCCACGTTTTAGTTTGGCCGCCCCTAATTCCCTTCCAACCATCTCTAACACCCGTTAGCATTGTACGACGTGGTAATCGGTGTTCAGGCATACGTAACACGTGGCCCAACCATCTCAGTCGATGAAGATTAACAACCTCATCAACTGACTTACCATCATTTCCTAATACCATGCGTCTAACCTCACTATTACTTACCCGGTGATCCCAGCAGATGCCAGCAATATTTCTAAGGCATCTGTGGTCAAATACTAATAGCTTACGAGTGTCTTCTACTCTTAAAGGCCATGTTTCGCTGCCGTAAATTAAAACATAATGGACTTTCGCGCAGTATACTCGTCCTTTTATTGATAGACGGATATCTCGCCTTCGCCAAAGGTGACGCAAGTTGGCAAAAGCTAAGCGAGCTTTTCGAATCCGTGCTGAGATTTCGTCCGATACCAACCCATTAGAGCTGATCAGACTTTCAAGATGAGGGTGGAAAGAGTTATTTTTCCACCTCGAAATACCCCATGTGAACGAGGATTTATAGTTCCTATCACAGAGGTTCTGCTCTACTCACTGTCTTCACGTAGCAATTGGTGCTTTTGATGAAAGTGAGGAGATGAAGAGTGGATGTAAGGAGCTTAAACCAAGTTAGTGGGTACGGATAGTATAAGTAGGGGAGTTGAAAAACCCTGACTATAAGCCAGTGGGGTACATACATATTTTGATCACTGCTACCACGGGATTGCATCCTCTGACGTCACTCTAATGTCTTGTGAATCAAACCTCCAGATAAGAGGATCGAGGAGTAGTCCCTTCAAGTAAAATGCCTCCTTTAGTTTGGGCAACCGAGTAGTACCACAGCCAAGTAACAAATATGTTGCCACCTCGAAAGAAACTGTCTGAGGAATTTCAAATCATATCAACGTTAACACTTCTTACTTCATATTAAACGTACGAAATATTTGCATACCTTCAGTTAAAAGTTGTTTCAGTATACACTGACCAAAAAATTCTTTACGAGTTGTAGGCCTTGTCGGTCGATAGAATACTTTCATGGTGTAAAAAATCAAAAGAAATGTAATTAGTTACATTTTGTAAGTAATTAATATTAACATAGATAGTTTTGATAGCATGAATCGAAGAGAAACGATAGGGGCTTTTCTCTAATTCCAAAATTAGTCTAGAAATAGATTCAGATACTGTTAAGTACTACTATGAGAGCTTAATTTTCTATAACTAAGAAAATTAGTCTTCAGACTCGAATTTATTATAGTCACTCATAATCAACGTAGAGCCCGGCACAGATGTGTGTTGACCCAAGTTGACATAGGAAATTAACACTAAGAAATCAACTTAAAGAAAAAAATAGCGAATGAATAGAAAATGTAGCAGCTAAGATAGATGAGAAAGATTGAACACAGAGTTTAGCTCAAAAAGAGAATATTGGAAGTGGCGATCTAGAAGAATATAAAATGTGAATAGATTCGTGACATTGTGGGTAATTTTAACCAATTTTGTCTAGCGTCTCCAACCATTGATATAGGATGTCGCGTTAGCCCGGACCAGATAAACTTATTATAGGCAACTTTGATTATCGGTTTTAGTAGTACAATGCATTTAACTTTTGCTATTATAAGCGGGCAAATGAAAATCACTAAATAGGACTGATGGGTTGAATCGTTTTGGGATTAAATTAGAATTGGAAGTTTTATTGACCAGGAAGCATTACCACAGAACAAATTAAACAATCGCAAGGGCCCGGTTTCGTATAGCGACTTATAAGTAAGATTTGCTGTATTAGCTCTGAGGAGCAAAAAACGGGATAATTTAGGGGGCCAATTGTATCTAGACCATTCCTCAGTTTGCGAGAAGGAAATATAACTGGGGTAATGATAGGTTTTTTGTTAGAAAAAAAGACTATCATAACAAACCTCGTACAGTTAGCAGTAAAATGATTTTCATCTGGTTTAAAAGTGGAGAAAAGCTACATATCAGAGGTGTTGTATAACTACTTCCAATATAATGGTGTAATAATTCTTTACTGATTCAGTCAGCCCATAAAACTATCAGCCAAGAAGAGGCCCTCTGGTGTTTAGATCTTCTTAAGAAACCACCAAGCCTTCTTTTTTAACAGGAAATTTAAAAAATGAAGTTTCTCCTTCGTCTCTGCTTTATTGGGAATATAATTCAGTAATGACAATAATTGAATTTATCCGAAATTTCATTGAAATCCAGATTTTCTTCGCAAATAATAAGCGTCATCCATATATATTTATAAATTTATTTGGTGAGCCTCGAATTCATTATAGACCTTTAATATCCAATCTGTAAAATAAGGTATTTAAACCAATAATTAAGAAGTTTCATTTATATTGTGGAGATATGACTGACAAGCTTATTTTGTAAATAGTTTTTAATATTATTTGTATTTATTCTGTCAATCTTTCACTGTATGTATATTTATCATTAAATGACTGTACCTGTTGTTTTAGTGAATGACCTTGAACACACTTTCCGTTGTGTGACACACATAGCATGACATACTTGTGATTGTTCTCAAATACACTGCTATATATACACTCCTTGTTCTACTCTCGCTTGTGATTGAGCTAATTGCATCCTAAATCTAATATTATCCGCATTTATAGACGGTGAGTCGGGACATATCATACCTAACAGTGGTTTACATTATTGGAGAGTCCAACAACCTGTACGGAATTATCGAACATCTATAATTGTGGATTTACAGTACCAGACCCGATCTGAACACGCAGCAACTTGGTGAATTTAAGTAAAGTCCCCAATTTTATGTTGTATTATTCACTGTTAACATTATCATTCACTCTTTATAACTTGGTTAACACTTTTTCACGTTCATATTTGTTTGGTCCACCACAATTATTTGGTGAGCCTCGAATTCATTATAGAAGTTTACAATATATATATATATATATATATATATATATATATATATATATATATATATAAATTATTGTTACTGAGCACGCCACTCCATTTTTGTTTTTCCCACTATGACCTCTCCCACTAAACTCATTGATATTGATAGTCCACCTACCAATCTCCAAAACTCTTCACAACCTGAAGAAAACGCTTTAACCTCCATCAACGCCATCTCAGAGCTAAGACTACCAATGTATGGTGTTAATAATCCTAGAATCTAGTTTGCCCAGGTAGAAGCATTATTTTAGCAGGAGGCATACGCTCTCAGGCGACCGAATATGCAAACGTTGTCGGAGCACTACCAATAGAGGTGGTACAGAGGTCGGCAATCTAATTGATAATGTACCTGAGATGGACCCCTACGTCAAAATGAAAGCCGCGGTTATCCACCGTACGTTCCAGTCCGATGAAAAACGCCCACAACAACTGCTTACAGCATGCGAATTAGGGGACAAAAGACCCTCGCAGTTACTTAGTCATATGAAACAGTTAACTGGATCATACAAGGTAGATGAAGCATTACTTAAACAAATGTGGTTTCAACGATTACCACACAATGTCACCCAAATCCTCAGTGTATCGGGGACGTCTGTTAACCTGGATGACCTAGCCGACATGGCAGAAAAAATGATGGAGATTTGCCCCGACAGTCGTCATTTGAATGCCATACAAACCTCAAGTCGAGATGTTACGAATGCCCCTCTTGACGTACACCAACGAATAGCAAATTTAACTCAGCAGTTAGCAGCGTTGCAGGCGACTATAGCCACTATTCATACTCGTCCTGCCAGATCGACCTCCAGAAGGCGATCAATATCCCGACATCTCACTAAGTCACCAAAGCGGGCGGCGGATACTTGTTGGTAACACACGACTTTCGGTGAGAAGGCACGCCGTTGCACAAAACCGTACAACTTTAAAACAAGCAAAACAAACTACCAGGGAAACGATGCGGCTAGACAGTAATGGAGGCGCCTGTTTCTGGCCACTATCCAAGCCGTATCTTTCACATCAGGGATCGAATTTCGGACTCAGATTTTTTAGTCGATACAGGAGCCGAAATCAGCATTATCCCACTACACCTATCCCAACGACGGCACTCTCAGAGTAGTAAATTATCTCTAGTCGCAGCCAAAAACACAGTCATTAGAACTTTTGGCGAACAATCACTCATCTTAGATCTCGATCTCCGCAGACGTTTCACATGGGTTTTCATTGTAGCTGAAGTCAAACAACCCATTCTCGGAGCCGACTTTCTCGGTGCTTATAACCTACTCGTAGATATGGGCAAAAAGAAACTAATTGACAAGAATACAAGTTTACAGGTCATCGGCACAGTCACCTCTGACTACGAAATCCATGGAGTTCGGATGATAAAACCTCCGGACAACATCTTCATCGACATTTTGACGAAATTTGAGTGCATCACCAGGGTAGATTATCGGAACGAATGCACCATTCACTAAGTGCAACATCACATTATCACCACAGGCCCTCCAATACGCGCCAGGCCAAGAAGACTACCCCCACATAAACTAACAATTGCTAAGCGAGAGTTCGAGAACATGATGCAACTAGGCATCATTAGGTAGTCTAGCAGCCCATGGGCTTCCGCACTACACATCGTTCCAAAAAAAGGATCAAGATTGAAGCCCCTGTGGAGACTACCGCCATTTAAACAACCTGACTATTCCGGATCGATACCCCATCCCTCACTTACACGACTTTTCCTTGAACCCACATGGAAAACGGTTCTTTTCGAAGTTAGATCTAGTTCGAGCATATCATCAAATACCAATGGCACCTGAGGATATTGAAAAAACAGCCGTAATCACACCTTTTGGCTTGTTTGAATTCTTGAGGATGCCTTTTGGACTAAAAAAACGCTGCTCAAACCTTTCAGAGATTCATGGATGAAGTAATCAGAGGTTTGGATTTTGTATTTGTCTATGTCGATTATGTTTTAATCGCTAGTTCCTCCACTGAAGAACATGTTCAACACTTACACACACTTTTCGAACGTTTCGAAAGTTATGGTGTGGTAATCAACCCTTCGAAGTGTATATTCGGTGCCTCAACTCTGGAAGAAAAAGTCGAAGCCATAGTCAATTTTCCTGAGCCTAAGTCGATAAAGGCATTACGTCGGTTCCTGGGGATGTGCAACTTCTACCGACGTTTTCTCCCTAACTGCGCGACCATCTTGCAACATTTGACAGACTTACTGAAGACTGATAAATCCGCAGCACAGACAAGAAAGAAGAGAACACTTTCACGTTAACCCCCGAAGTCAGAGAGGCTTTCGCTAAAGCGAAAGTGATGATATCCAATGCTATTATGCTACAACACCTAAACACAGACCCAACAACGCAGCTCATTCTCTGCACTGACGCCTCCCAGAAAGCAGTAGGGGCAGTTTTACAACAGCGGGTGGACGACAAAACTACCCCCATAGCCTTTTTCTGCAAAAGATTATCGCCAACGCAAAAACAAATGTGGTTTCAACGATTACCACACAATGTCACCCAAATCCTCAGTGTATCGGGGACGTCTGTTAACCTGGATGACCTAGCCGATATGGCAGTCGCCTGAGAGCGTATGCCTCCTGCTAAAAATAATGCTTCTACCTGGGCAAACCAGATTCTAGGATTATTAACACCATACATTGGTAGTCTTAGCTCTGAGATGGCGTTGATGGAGGTTAAAGCGTTTTCTTCAGGTTGTGAAGAGTTTTGGAGATTGGTAGGTGGACTATCAATATCAATGAGTTTAGTGGGAGAGGTCATAGTGGGAAAAACAAAAATGGAGTGGCGTGCTCAGTAACAATAATTTATATATATATATATATATATATATATATATATATATATATATATATATATATATATATATATATATATATATATATATATATATATTGTAAACTTCTATAATGAATTCGAGGCTCACCAAATAATTGTGGTGGACCAAACAAATATGAACGTGAAAAAGTGTTAACCAAGTTATAAAGAGTGAATGATAATGTTAACAGTGAATAATACAACATAAAATTGGGGACTTTACTTAAATTCACCAAGTTGCTGCGTGTTCAGATCGGGTCTGGTACTGTAAATCCACAATTATAGATGTTCGATAATTCCGTACAGGTTGTTGGACTCTCCAATAATGTAAACCACTGTTAGGTATGATATGTCCCGACTCACCGTCTATAAATGCGGATAATATTAGATTTAGGATGCAATTAGCTCAATCACAAGCGAGAGTAGAACAAGGAGTGTATATATAGCAGTGTATTTGAGAACAATCACAAGTATGTCATGCTATGTGTGTCACACAACGGAAAGTGTGTTCAAGGTCATTCACTAAAACAACAGGTACAGTCATTTAATGATAAATATACATACAGTGAAAGATTGACAGAATAAATACAAATAATATTAAAAACTATTTACAAAATAAGCTTGTCAGTCATATCTCCACAATATAAATGAAACTTCTTAATTATTGGTTTAAATACCTTATTTTACAGATTGGATATTAAAGGTCTATAATGAATTCGAGGCTCACCAAATAAATTTATAAATATATATGGATGACGCTTATTATTTGCGAAGAAAATCTGGATTTCAATGAAATTTCGGATAAATTCAATTATTGTCATTACTGAATTATATTCCCAATAAAGCAGAGACGAAGGAGAAACTTCATTTTTTAAATTTCCTGTTAAAAAAGAAGGCTTGGTGGTTTCTTAAGAAGATCTAAACATAGAAAGCAGCCCTGGAGTATTCCGTACACGAATTCCATAGCTGAGCCCCATTGAATAAGAAAAGAAACCTAATTCACTCTTTACTCTCGAGGACTAGGCGAATACGCTCTCATGACACAATAGATGACGCATTTCGGAGCACTACTCGTTGTGGCTTTTAAAGCAAAAATACAGAACGATCACTAGCTCAACACAGAAGCACTTCAACTCTGCGCACGTTACTCCAAAGAAATTGTCCTTCAAAATAATCTACATGGTAACAAGAACTGAATCGAAGGGAGGCCAAATCTAAAAATTATGGACTACTGAGGAGTTCGCAATTCATCAATCGAAACCTGAACTCTGAATGCAAAAGCAATACGCCTGACCCTTCATCGTCCCTTGGTCCTAATTCTCTTCTCCAGTACCTTTTGGTTGTTTTTTCTTTAAATTAGTGTTTTGTAATTTTAAACCGTAATCAGTTATTTTTATCCTATAACAATTTTTCATGACTATTATTTAGTTATTATTATGACCATTATGTTTTTTCATTTTGTCATCTTTGTCACATGAACAATTATCACTCACAATTCTAACCGTAAATTATCTTCATCCTCCTACTCTTCTCTGACCTCTCGATCATTACGCAACCTCATTTTGATATTTTAAATTTCGGATCTATTTATGATGTGATGTCTTCCTATCCACCGATGGACTCAAATATACGTCAAGTAACTGTCAATACGAGTGTATAGCTTAAGTAAATGATTTTGTCGACAAGAAAGTTCTTTCACTGAGTTTTCTTCGTTTGCCTAAATAATATAAACGCAGAAATATGAACTAACCCGAAAATAACTTGGTAAAATATCTTTTAACGAAGCGATTCCTGTGATTCCTTTAAGTCTCAATTCGTTATTTGATGTTGAACGTGGTATACCATATTGAAAATACAATAAGTAACTTATGAACAATGTTGAACCATGAAGAAGCTAAAAAAAATCAAAACAGAAAATGATGGATTGAAAAGACACTAGAGCATTCTTGTCTACGGTTCATATATAAGTACAAATTTTTTACTACATTAAACGGGACTCCTGGGTATTGCACATCTACAATGCTCGTCACGAGACTTGAAGGTCCCGAATTTGATCTCTGGTGTAGTCGTGGATATGTACTATCGAGTACCCCCATAAACTACAACGAGACAGCAATCAAATGTTTTCTGGTTTGTAATGTTTGTCTAAGATCAACCCATGATGCAAGCTAAAAAGTCCAACTATATTTACAAACTTTAATACTAATACTAGCTACAATTATCTTCGAAATAAGAATACAGTACACAAATATACACCCAGATAGAGGTAAATACTATGACCACATATAGTATATTCCATAAACGAATGAACCGAAGTTATAAACACGTTATTTTACAAAGTTTAAAGTACATCAGTCAAAATACTGTCCATGTTGTGAAACAATATAATTAGTCCATTTCCTTTTTTATGCTTAGAAACATCTATGGTGAACAAGGAAAATGATGTAACATGACAATCGAATTACTGGCCAGAAATTCACAAAATGTCCCTGTCGTATCGACATACCAAACCATACATGAATATTTAAATGCTTGAAAGTCTTTATAAATAAAGTAAAGTTTATTGTTTGTCCTACAATGTGATTGATTGTTTAGTAAATTTTATAACCGACAATCGTAATAGTTTAGTCCGCATATCAGTTTCAGCGACCATGTAACTGAAATCATAATGATACTCTTGACTAAAATAAATGATGTTCTGATGATCGCATGAATGTCTAAATGTAAAAACGAAAAATTGTACCTATACTGTGGTGCATGCTACTTATGCTGACAGATGTAAGTAGTGTGTAGAAGTAATTGATTTACCCCACCTGAGTTCTCATTTACTACAACATAAACAAATAATATGATAACTGTTAATACATAAAACTTACTTGAGGTATACTAAGTGAATAAATGGCATACTGAGATGGTACAGTAAATATTGCAAATAGTATTCCAATTGAACGAGCAGTATTAGCAAAAGCTTCAATGAAAATTCTTGCACGAACTTCATGAGATAATTGACAAATAAGCCATAGTGGTTCAGTAGCTAATTCAAAAAGACCAGATAAAGCGTATATCATGATACAGAGGATGTAACGTTGTTCAATAATTGACGATGTTAAATTTAATTCAGAATTTGACTCATTAATTAGATTACTTGGAGATGGTAAGATGTAAATCCACACAAAACTCAATAGTATTACAATGATGAAACCAATTGGAAGTCTAAAATTTTGAAATTATTTATTACAATATAATTAAACTTACACTAGCCAAGCAAGATTTAAAATTCCATACAATTGTTCTTTATATTGTAAACTACACTGAATTGAAGTATGACCATCTTGATTAATTTCATGCTTACAACTTTTAATAAACTGAGAAACATCAACAAAATCATCATTTGTAGAATCAATTATTGTAGTAACACTTGCATTTGATAATGATTCAGTTGATTTTCTATTATTATTATTATTATTATTATTATTATTATTATTATTATTATTATTATTATTATCGTTACTATTGACTACTTGTCCACCGCGACTAAGACATGCACGACGAAATGCTTCTCTTGAAGTAAATATCAATGTTGAATAAAATAAACCAAGTCGAACATTGACTAAGCCTAAACTAGCTGTATCCAAATAACGATAAGAAAGACTATTCAATAAAAATGTCATGATATGTAAAATAATTTGAAGTAGAAATGTATAACCAATTAAAGTAAATCCGGTATTGAGAAATTCCGAATCATTTTGATTAGATAATTTACAAGATGATTCATTAGTAATATCATTTATATGCATATTATCATTTAATCTAATTTGATTTGATTCATTTCGGTTAGTGATTAAATAATTTGAAATGTTAAACTTCATTTGTTTTATTGTATTTTGTATAGTACTATTATTAATTAGTGTTTTATTGTTGTTCTTAGCTGGATTCGAGGAAACTTCATCGCTGAAAAAATAAAATTTGAAATTAATGTAACAATTAAAATTTAAATAATGAACAGTAATTTATATTACGATTATTAGTAGTCATAACAACAAGAAAATATAAAACCAAATAGGTAAGTTCAAAAGGTAAGCTCAAAATCGTGTTCTCTCAAATTCCAATCTTCTGAATTCTTCATGTCCTTTTTTTCTCTTTCCAAATTTATTTCACTGGATTATACTCCTTGAATAACATCTTCAAACCCTAATCTTTCCGATTACTGCTTATACTTTTACTACCTCTACCACTATGGGATTTGAATCAACAACTGCATCTCTGTACTAATATGGTATGGCAATTCGAATTGATGTACGTCCGTACGAAGTTCTACGTTATTATTGACTGACTGAAGTTCAATGAATTGACTTTGAATGCAGAGTGTTAGTGCTCAAGGCTATTGGGTTATTTTCATGATATTGATTTTTCCGTGAATCAACACATAACTTTCAACAAATGTCCAACATATGTGAACATGTAGAGCATTTTGGGTTAATATGAACAGTTATCGGATAAATGGTTAAGTGAATAAAAATAACTCGGCCCTTAACCATTAAGTTGATTCATCTAATTTAAGTTTAATAGCTCGGTATTATCACTAGTTCATATATTCAACACGTGCCTTAAAACCAAGTACATCAAAATGTACCTGAGAAATGACCTGGAAATTTTTCTATCATTCTCTGTAAAAACAAAACAAAGCGAACCATTGGAATTGCATCAGCTCACTTAACCAATTACATTGCTGAGAGCGTCATTCACCATACTGTCTTATGTAATATATTTAAATGTTTATTTCGTTATCTAGTTACGAGTTAGTCCATAATTGTGCGAATCCTTAACACCTTAATGGTTGCGCTGTACCATATATTCACAAATAATAAAGGATTAACAGAATAGATTATTTGTCCAAATTTATGATACCATCTTTCAAATTATTATTAATATTGTGGCCAAACTAGAAAATATACCATTAAAGGCATCCTAAGTAATCTAGACTACTACATAGATTACATACTAATCGTATGTGACGAAATTATCGACAACCAAGAGATGTTGGACTGTTTCAATAACGTCCACCCAGGTGAATAAAGGTTAAGCCTTTGCCACAAGACGGAAGGTCCTGGGTTAGATTTACAGTAAAATCGTGGATGAGTACTCTTCAGGAGTTCTATACTACAACCAAATAGCTATCCAGCATTTCCTCACTTTCAACGGTAGTTCAACAAAGACCAGTCCGAGACATAAACTTTGAAAGTTGTAATTTGTCACATCCATCTTAAAATGTAATACATTTTTACTTCAGATATGCGAGATCAATAATTGCTTTTAATTATTTAACTATATGTATATAGATATATACAGACAGATAGTTAATGGAGCTATAAGAAATTCATTCTGATACTGAACTTTCAATGCTTAAGTTATGTAATCATTATGATTAGCCAACTGATCAGATTTGATAACCCATTGATGTCATGACTCCTAATCACAAAATCTATGAACTGTAACAGTTTGGTACACAAGAATTTGTACGGTAGCAGAAGGCTCGAACTTATTGAATAATAATATCAACAGGGCAACTCAATCCTTAACCCAACTATTTATGATTTCTAGTGACCTTCAATAACATAACAAATAATGATTTATTGAAAGAAATCATAACAAAACAAAAAAAGTCTAAATAGAAACTACTTGCACATATATATAAACAAAATTAAAACTCACAGATCATAAGAAGTTACACTATCTGTTTGAGAGGACATTCCAACAGTAACAATAACAAGTCTGGAATATAAAATTAGTTTAAATGTAAAAAAAAAACAACTACATATATAAAAGAAACAATGGCAAAACTAAGTTCTATATGAATGAAAGGACAATTTTATACACATGATTCCCTATATCATTTTGAAAGGACAATTTGTTTTCTCAGCAGAATATTGATAGTAATTGAAATAAAGGAAATAAGAATAAATTCACATGAACATAAGAATCCTATACTAATTTAATATTTATAAGTAGTATATATTTTGAAAATGATTGTTTATTTGGATTTTGATGACGATGATGTTGTTGTTGCTGTACAAATATGTGATATATTTGAAACAGGTAAACGTCCTTCTACTTCTTCTTGATACTTGAGAATAGTTTCTAAAATATGAATATATTTTATACTGAGGCGTAGAATTTCATGTTTGCTTAATTTTTTATCCGGTGGATGTGTAGGTAGAATATATCTGAGCTCGGCAAATGCTTGATTAACACTACGCTGACGTTGACGTTCACGACTATCCACTAATGAGAAATCATGTCTATCAGAGAATGAATCCATTCGTAATTTTTAAGAATGAGTAGATGGATGTGTTGGGGTATATATATATCATAATGTAAAAAGGAGGCGAACTTTTCATTCCATTCTCCAATAACAAACAGCGAAAATATTACAAAGGTTTAATGTGAATAATATCAGATGTGAATGACTCGATATTATAATTAACAATTAACCAATAGAAATATAGATTAGCGACAAAAAAAACGGTGAAGAAATAGGAAAGTGAATATTAACGATTGAAAAGAAAAGTCTATGATCATTTTTGATAAACAAGAATTGAAAAGAGAATGTGATGTGAGTGTGTGTGTGTGTGTGTGTGCGAGAAAAAGACACTGAAACAAGAAAAAAGGATGATGATTACGATTATTATTCGCATAGGAATAATTAATTTTATTTTCAATTTTTATCTGATTAACTGTATTTCGGTGATAAATAGCTAAGAAAATTATTCAAGAGGAAAGAATGATTTAACGACTAATACTGATAACTTCTATCAAGTTTTATCAGTTTATATAATTTAAGAAATTTAGAAGATAAGACTATCAATCACACGAGATATTCCCAGTATAAGTATATTAATCACATCTCACACATACAAGTGAATTGATAACTTAGTGGTTAAGGCATTCAACCTCTGACCAATATGTCGTGAACCTGATCCTTCATCCATCTACTTCAGCTTAGGCAACCGAATGGTATCATGTTTTTACACTTCGAGGGTAGTTTATACCCAAGTATTTGGTGAAAAGATTAATCATATAAATAATGAATACGAACTTTTGAGCGTGTTTTTATGAGACATTTATTAAAAATGACAGGGGATCTAGTCATAAAAATGCAGACATATTAACAGGACAATAAAAAGCAACGTCGAATAAGCGACTAATTAAAGAACATTTAGGTATCATAAATTTTAGATCTCACCACTTCAGCTTACATAAAAAGATAAAACATTCAAAATTTAATAGGAATATGATACACATATGAGACTGAAAGTGAATTCGGACGACGATTTTTGAATAGAATGATATAGTGCAGTTTAAATGTTAACTGTAAGCTATTAGCACTGATGTCTAACCAAAGGCACACTGTAAAGCACATAAGTAATATCAGTAGACACCAATAGCAACAGTTTCACTAAAGATACTTGAATAACGCGAAGAAATAAATGAAATGTCTTTAGGTTGAAGACTCAATTCCGTTCTAATGTAAGCAAACAAGAGACACTTAAAAGAAGGATATTTCTAATATTTATTAAAATAAGCAAATATCTGAGATGAAACCTGTCTCTCATGAAATAAAGATTTCTAAAACAGAATGCTTTATTCAAATAGAGAAAATGATTCAATCTTTAATGGAACGTGAAACTGAACTGGGAACTTGATTATGCGATACCGCGACAAATTTCGATTTAGCATGCATTCAAACTGTAAGTATTTATTGATATATTTTATAAATGCTATTAAAAATCAGTAGTTCTCATTTATTCTCGGTCACAAAACGTTTTTATTAGTTCAACTGCTACAACTATTTTACAACAGCCATGCATGAATTATGACATTCATCCCTCGTTTATATCGAAGAACAGATAAAGAGGAAAATATACCAACAAATGTGACATTCCCTTTTAAACTTTTCGATGTATAACAACCCAATAAATTGTAAGCATTCTATTACAGTATTTGAGAGCATATAGCTAGTATTCATAATCATTCAATCTAAACTGATTGAAAACAGTAACGTTAATTACTATATTTATAGTTAGGAGGAAGGTGGCCCAAACGTCTAGATAGGTCACATTGGAATCTAAATTCATTAAACTAGATAACTGCGTAACCAATTTTTGAACAATTGTCTAGTACACTTATAATGAAAATTGCTGACACTGATCAGCAAAGTAATAGAGACTAGGAAGTACGGAATAGCTGTTTCGTTTTTGCTAGAGAGCATTCACAAATGTATTATTACTAGTAGATACGAAGTTTAACTCGATTGCTAGTAAACTACTGTTTAGTCAGCAGGTTTAGATCTAACGGTCAAATTTCAAACAATCGATTTGAAATAATGCGCAATCCTTATCGATTTGAGTGACATCTGTGGCCTCTTATTTTTAATGGTTTACCAGCTAATACCAAGCTGAATCAGAACTACCTTTAAGCAGGTATCTGCATCACAAGTGATTCATAAATAATATACACAACCCTACATTATACGTGGCCTGTTTTCTTATTTATAAGCATATGAAATCATACAAACATTCGACAAGCAAAATACGATTTTTCGAATGTATCTGAACATATGCGACGGCCGTGTAGGATACTCACTTGTCAACAAATATTTCTGACATTTTCTTATTATTTTGCTAGGACAAAATAATTCGTTTATTCCTGGTAAGTTTTGTTACACCAAAAGACCAATATTTAGACGTGGTTTTGTTGGTAATATAGAATTTATTAGGATTAAACCATTTGTTACTGTGATATTTTGTTAAGAGGTTATCAGTTTACTACGCAACATCAAATGAGTCAGTCGTACGCAACACAGAACTTGACACATATGTGTATCATTTCAAGTTCCCACACAACAAGCACAGAAGTGTCACAGTTATATATACAGTAACAATATTAGTGATGGCAGAAAAGATTATGTACATGAGATATGATGATAGAGCAAAATACGGATTCATGGAATAAATGAATTCTTTGTGATGATTCAGGAACTTAGGATCTAAAGGGGAAAAAAGAGTGGATGTGCTTACGTTACACCAAATGACTTCGAGCCATCATCCTAAGTCTTTAGACATTGGTATGATGATCGCGCGGACCTACCTACATATATGTATGAAATATACACTACATATCAAGTTTTGAAACAGAGGTGTGACAGCAGTAAGGTGTTTCCTTCAGACAACCAGCATGACAGCGATGCTGCCTTCCCACAAGGAGGGGTGGGGTTAGAAAAGGTCGACCCTAAAAATGCACACCTCACCTTACCTCACGGATTTCCGTCTCCGGCGGTAAGGCCTTTTGAAGAACGGAGCTAACACGTCAAAAACCTCCCACGAAAAGGCCGTGCGCGACCGGCCTCAAGCAGTTGTCCCTTGGGCACTGCGGTCACGCTCTCAGGTCACTGAGACCACCTCTAATCCAATTTCCTTTTCAGGTACCTCCAGAAGAACCCTTCCACGGTGTGGGCAACCGGGAAGTGATAACCGCCCTCATACCTCTAACAGCACTCAAGACCACTGTATTCATAATCAACCTTCCTCTTCAATTCCTATTATTCCTCCTACATCGACTTTCAACCCTAAACTTCCTCCTTTGGCTTCCTCCTCAAGTGTCACCATAGCCAACGATTCTAGTGCTCAAAACTCTGTCCCAGGTCTACTGAAACCTCGCTCCAAACTACACATTGGAGCTTTCAACGTACGCACTCTATGTCAAATCGGTCAGCAGGCTTCCTTGGCTAAAACCCTAGAGTCTCTTTCCATTGATGTATGCTGTGTCTCCGAAACACGCATACAGGATCCCAGTGTGGTCATTCACTTGACCTCACCTCGGCAGAACGGAGAGCCAACGAGATACACCCTTCGTGTATCTGGTGACCCGATGGCCAGTTCTCGTGGACTGGCAGGTGTAGGCATAGCACTAAGCATGAGGGCCGAACAAGCACTGCTAGAGTGGATCCCCGTCAACAGTCGTCTATGTGCTGTTCGGCTAAACGGCTCCGTAAGAACTCGGAAGGATAGGGACACACGTCGTTGCCTTTTTGTCGTTTCTGCCTACGCTCCCACTGACTGCAGCTCAGATGAAGTGAAAGATGAATTTTACAGAAAGCTCTCTGAACTTCTTCAGAAAGCTAAACGCTCAGACATAGTACTCGTAGGGGGTGACTTTAATGCTCAGATAGGCAGTTTAAACCAAACAGAAAGGCATTTAGGTGGATATTTTAGCATTCCGACACAGCGAACAGATAATGGTGATCGTCTGCTGCAACTGCGCTCAGACAATCGCTTATTTTTAGCAAACACAAATTTTAAGCATAAGGAGAGACATCGTCTAACATGGCGACCCCCTACACCAAACCAACGATGGACTCAAATAGACCATATTGCCATCAGTCATCGTTGGAGAGGGTCGGTAGAAGATTGTCGCTCATTCTGGAGTACCTGCTTGGACTCCGACCATGCCCTAATACGGGCACGCATCTGCTTGCGCCTCACTGGACGCAAAAAAGCCACATTAAAAAGACCCATTAGAACTGAGTTGAGTAACGAGAAAACCAAAAGTAGGTTCCAGGAACAACTGAGGTCACACTTAGGTAGTTGTGAAGACGAGGCTGACCCAGATGTTGCTTGGAAGACATACAAGCAGCTGTGGAAACAGCAGTGACATCTATTAGTGACTTAAACCAGTGGATTTCTTCAAGGTCTATCGCACTGATGGATTCTCGCAAACTCGTCCCATCAGGTTCTGAACATGATGAAGAGCGTAAACAAATCAGATCTAGGTTAAGAAAAAGTCTAAGGAACGACCGTGAGCAGTGGTGGGCAACGAAAGCAAAAGAGATGGAAAAGGCGGCGACTATAGGGAACACAAGACAGCTTTACAGACTAATAAAAGAAACTGGAATTAATAAGTCAAGTGTAAGTGAGATTATTTCGGAAAAAGACGATACTCTCATCTGCTCCCAGTCCAGACGTTTAGAACGATGGGCGGAACATTTTAGAGAACAGTTCAGCTGGCCTTCAGCTACTCTACAACTACCCAGCATTCTCCCAACTCTTGCTGAAGTTCAAAAGGCTATAGTTAATCTGAAACGAGGAAGGGCAGCTGGTCCAGATGGATTGGCTCCAGAGGTCTTTAAGGATGGTGGTCCAATTTTAGCGATTAGGTTGACTAATATTTTAGCTAAGATCTGGGAGTTAGACGTTATCCCATCTGACTGGTCACAATCACTTATCGTCCCAATATATAAGAAAGGGTCAAAATCATCCTGTGACAACCACAGAGGGATTAGTTTAACTAATATAATATCTAAAATACTAGCCTCGATAATTATCAGACGCCTAACTAAGACTCGTGAACTGAAAACACGAGAGAACCAAGCTGGCTTTAGACCTGGTCGTGGCTGCATCGACCACATATTCACCATTCGTCAGGTTCTAGAACACAGGCATACTTATCGGCGTCCGACAATGGTGGTCTTTCTTGACTTAAAAGCAGCAT